GCCATCATGCACTTTATCCTTTAACAAGCTTGTGCAGCAATTTCTACATGATGGGACTAGATGTGACCTACACTATTTTACAGGTTAAAACAATTCTATAATATTTACTGCTGTGATTTTTGTGATCCTGTCTTAGTGGTGTTGATTCAGTCCTGTGGTTTATTTTTTATGGTATTTTAGCTCATCATTTTCCTGTATGCTACATATATTGGAGCTGGAAAAAATATTAGTTGCACCTTTCAAAACACTGCAGGTCCAGTCCTGGTAGCTCAGAACTGAATCAAAACTTGTGGTCAAGAGTTTCAGTCTATAGCAAAAGCTGAACACTTACTGTGAGGTATGCATTTTTAAGATAGCACAACATTGCATACATACACCCCACATACCTTTAAATCTGTTGGTTTAAAAAAATGTGTGGAAGCACATGGGAATTGATATAATTTCTCTATGAATGGCCTCAGAAGACCCCACTCTGTTAAAAGTAGACAGCTGAGTGACCTTACCTTTGGGGAGACGAAGGTAAAGTAAATACTAAAAAGATACACATTCTCTTGAGGCATATATCATCTTCTCAGTACTTCTCAGATGTCCCATGGCTTAGTTCAGAGATAATAAACCTCTTTTCACATGTTTTCTTTAGAGCAACATGAAGCCAAAGATAGCAAGAAAGTAGTTATCCTCAAATGTGTGTGGGAGGTGAGGTGTGCCTGATTTGCTTCACTGATATCTATCTGTGTGTCCTTTGTGCCAGGTACCTATTTGGGTGGACCTATAAATTCAAATTTTAAGCCTGACAGCTGAGATTTGTCAGAAGACTACACTTTCTTTAAAAATGGTTCTTTTACAGCTTGTACCTTCCTAGGATACCTAAAACAGTTGATTGAAAACTAATGAAATTCTCTGTTGCAATTACTCACCATTAGAATATTACATATTGCTGGTCTCTCTCCCATTATTTCCTAATGGATGTAGTGCAGTTGTTATGGAAAGGGGAATAAAAAGGAAAAAATCTTCTGTTTTAGTTCCTTCTAGTAAACTCACTGGTGCTTCCTGTGTGCTTGTATATGTCTGGATAATGTCTGTTATGAGTAAGATATCCAAGGAGAAGACTTGTGCTCCTCGCATGGTGAATAAGAGAACATTTTAACAGAGGCATCTATGTGGAGAACTGGTTTATTGACAAAGATCTGTCCTCATCAGTTTTACTCTGTGGAGCTCACATGGGAATGCTATAGTACCCTACTTAATCTTTACTGGCAACCCAATGAACATCAGTCTGGAACTGCAAACGTGTTAGACAGAGAATTACACACTTCACCCACTTCACAATGATAATAAAGAATCGCATCAGTTTCGGCGTGGCAATAAAGAAACTCTTCCTCTCTGCCCTGCGGTGTGCTTGCTCCATTATTTGAGGGCAATTTTGGTTTAACTCAATAAACCGTGGACCCTGTGCTATCAATTTAAAGGAATTGTTATTCTAAACTGTAATCCAGCCTGTTTTTCCAAGGAACCACAGAGCGACCAACAACATAAAACTGTTCTCAGGGGCTGATATATAATACTTCTTGCCCAATGGAGTTTGGGTCTAAAGGAGATTAATTCCTAATAAATGTTCTTGTTGATTATAATGAATCACATTTAAAAAGGTAAATGTGCTTTATGTGTTTTATGGTTAAACAGGTTTTGGACAACACTGATAATATGCTGTGCACCTCTGTTACAGGTGTCCTTTTATAGAGGGGAGATTCCCAGCAACCTGCCAGAGGAAGTAGCCAGAAAGAGGAAAGGACTCGACAGCCAGTGGCTTACAACTTTACCTCTAAGACTTCCTGTCAGTTGAAGAGATGGATCCTATTTTATTCTTATCTTAAAAGATGTTATTGCACGTAAAATGTTGTCTATATACATTATTATTAGTTTCTAAACTAGACTCTTGTTAGTACAGAAAAACGTTTTCTAAGCATTATTTCTGAGGAGGCTTTCTCCCTATGCTCTAAAGGGACCACTTTCTTTATTGTTCTTGTAGGCTCTAACCTCAGAGAACACTTTCATCATGGAGGAGGTCGAGTATCCTCCTCTGAACCTGGGTGACCCTGAGAGTGGCTACCTGACAGAAGCCAACCTGCTGTCCATCTCTCTTCAGATAGCACAAGACTGGCGTGTTATTGGCCTCAATCTGGGCTTGAGCTACCAAGAACTGGAACGCATCCAGTACAAGAACAGGTAGGACTGAACAATCATGTTCACTTAGAATTACTGAAGTGAACAAGCCTTTTACATGAAACACATTTTCAATTCTAATAGAACACTCAACGGAAGAGAGTGACGTGTAGTAGATTCGTCTACAAATAACAAAAACACTCAAACATATCTCTTGCCATTGTGACCAAATAGCTCAAAACTTTTCTCCAGAAGACATTTGGCTTTTCCACGTGGAAGCTGCAAATTTCAGTCGAGCTTGAACGTGTTGATTTTAAAGCAGTAAGAAGTGTGTGTGACAACATTACCCTATCTATCTATCTATCTATCTATCTATCTATCTATCTATCTATCTATCTATCTATCTATCTATCTATCTATCTATCTATCTATCTATCTATCTA